AAGAGCAAGTCAAGCCCAGAGCCCAAAGAAGGCAGGAAATTATAAAGATCAGAGCAGAAATAAAATACAATGGAGATGAAGAAAATAATACAAAGAATTAATGAGCCAAAGACTTGGTTCTTTGAAATAATAAATAAAATTGATAAGCCCCTAGCCAACCTTATCAAAAATAGGTTGAAAGAAAAAATTCAAATTCATGCAATAAGGAATGAAAAGGGTGAAATCACTACAGAACCTATAGAAATTCAGAAGATCGTCAATACCTATTTTCAAAATCTTTACTCTTACAGGATAAAAAACATAAAGGAAATGGACAATTTCCCAAGTACATATAAAATGCCAAAGTTGAGTCAAGAAGATACATAAACTCTGGGCTGGTGAGATGGCTCAGTGGTCTAAAGCACCTACTTAGAACAAGTTTAGCAAAGCACAGGGACCGCGGTTCAATCCCCCAGCACCACATGCCAGCTGGCCCTGCCCCCTGGTGGGCTGAGCTGCCCCCACACACACATAAATAAATAAATTAAAAAAAAAGATACATAAACTCTGAATAACCCAACAACAGGAAATGAAGTTGAAAATATAATACAAAACCTATGAACAAAGAAAATCCCAGGTCCTGATGGATTCACAGTTGAATTCTATAAGAAATTTAGAGAAGATTTAATGCCAACTTTTCTCACACTTTTCAATGAAATTGAAAGGAAGAAATTCTCCCAACTTCATTCCTAGAAGCAAATATTACTCTGATACCAAAACCAGAGAAGGACCTAACCAAAAAAGAGAATTATAGGCAATCTCTCTGTGGAACACTAGATGTAAAAACACTCAATAAAATATTAGCATACCCTCAATAAAATATTGAATGCAGCAAATCATCAAGAAGATTATATATCACTACCAAGTGGGATTCATGCCAGCAATGCAGGAATGGTTCAATATACACAAATCCATAAATGTAATATACCATGTCAACAGAGCCAAAAACAAAAATCACATAATTGTCTCAATAGATGAGAAAAAGCTTTTGACAAAGTCCAACACTCATTCCTGATTAAAAACCCTACAAAAAACTGGAATAAGTGGTCTTTCCCTCAGCCTGATAAAAGCCATCTGTGAAACCAACAACCAACATCATACTGACAAAAACTGAAAACCTTCACTTTAAAATCAGGAACAAGGTCTAGAGGTATAGCTCAGTAGCACAGGCACCTGGCTGTCAAGTGCAAGGGCCTGAGTTCGATCCCCAGCACCAAAATAAATATATAAGTTAATAAATAATCAGGAAAAAGACAAGGATGTATACTGTCACTACTCCTATTCAATATAATTCTGGAAACAGCCAGAGCAACTAGACAAGATAGAAAAATAAAAGGAATAATGATTGGAAGGGAAGAAGTGAAATTATCATTATTTGCTGATGACATACTCTACAAAACTCCACCAAAAGACTTGTAGGCTTAACTACCAAATTCAGTAGCATAGTAGGATACAAAGTCAACATTCAAAAATCAATAGTATTTCTATACACAATGAACACATCAAGAGAGAAATTAGGAAAACCACACCTTTCACAATAACACCCAAAATATGGAATACTTAGAAATCAATCTCACCACAATGGCCAGGGTTATATCCTTGGCATGCCATGCCAGCCTCATCCCCGGGGTACACTGAGACAACAATTGAGACTGGCTGTGGGGGTGCGTGCCTGTAATCCCAGTTCTTGGGAGGCTGAACACAGATGGATCACTACGAGTCCGATCTAGTAGTGAGACCCTGTAGACCCTGTACTAAATACAAAAAGAAAAATCAATCTCACAAAAGAAGTAAAAGATTTATATAGTGAAAATTATAGTATTCCAAAAAAAGATATCAAACAGGATTTCAGAAAATGGAAAGATATTCCTTGCTCATGAGTATGAAGAACCAACATTGTGCAATTGGCCATACTCCCAAAATTGTTATACAGATTAATGAAATCCCAACTAAAATACCAGTAGTACACTTCACAGATCTAGAGAAAATATTCCTAAAATACATCTGGAACCAGAAGAGATCCATAATATCAAAAGTAATCCTAGGAAACAAAGGTAAGGCAAGAAGCATCACAATCCCTGACCTGAAATTATACTAAAAAAACCACTGTGATAAAAACTGCTTGGTTGGGGGCTGGGGAGATGGCTCAGTGGAGTAAGTGTTTCTCTGGCAAGCACAAGGGCCTGAGTTCAATTCTCATTTCTGAAAGAAAAAAAAACTGCATGGTACTGGTGAAAACAAAAACAGACCTGAGAATCAATGGAACAGATTAGAAGATGCAGGTACAAATATAAACGCAGTCAGCTACCTTATCTTTGACTGGGGGAAAGATATGTCATGCTGAAAAAACTGGCCTTCCACATGCCCAAGGCTAAAATTAGACCCATATCTATCACCATGCACAAAAATACATTCAAAATGGATCAAGGATTTAAATATTAAAACTGAAACACTAAATCTTGTAGAGGAGAAAGTGGGTAGAAATCTTAAAGACATGGGGTAGGTAGAGAGTTCATGAACAAAAACCAAACTGCATGGGAAATACTTCAAAGAATCAACAATTAGGATCTCACCTTTTTGAAATATTTCTGCAGATCAGAAGAAATCACCAATAGAGTAAAAAGAAGACCCATGAATTGGGAATTAATTATAACCAATTGTCCCTCTGACAAAACACTTCTATCTAGAACACATAAAGAATTTTTTTAAAAAATAAGCCCCCAGGGGCCGGGGAGATGGCTCAGTGAAATAAGCATTTGCCTGGCAAGCACAAGGGCCTGAATTCAATCCCCGGTTCCACAAAAAAAAAAAAAATAAGCCCCCAAAATTCAAAGACCCAATACAAAACTGGACATCCACATGGGATGTCCATCTCAAAAAAACTGAGATGAATATACACTTCATAAATGAAGAAATACAAACGACAAAAATATGTATGAGAAAACGTTCAACATCATTGGTCATTCAAGAAATGCAAAATAAAACATTGAGGTTTTGTCTCCCCTCCCCAGAATAATGACTATCATAAGAAATCAACCAATAACAAATGCTAGAGGGGTTGTGTGAAAAAGGAACCCTTCTCCACTGTGGGAATGCAGACTAGTACAACCGCTGTGGACATTCCTCAGAAAACTGGGATCAGAAGTCCCATTTGACCCAGCTATTCTGCTCCTGGGTATTTTTCCAGAAGAACTGAAATCCTCATACCACAGTAATTTACATGAGCAGCACAATTTGTCATAGCTAAATCTTGGAAACAACCCAAATGTCCATCAACTGAGGAATAAATACAAAATTTTTTTTACATAATGGAGTATGACAGCTGTAATATATACATATATAACTTGAAGCTTTTATTGGTAAGTGGATGCAACTAGAGATCATACTGGTAAGTGAAATAAATCAGACCGGCCTATGAAAACACCGTATTGTCTCGCTAGTGTAAGAACTAAAAGAATACATAAAATCTGAGGGGCCTGGGAGATAGCTCAGTAGAATAAGCGCTTGCCTGGCAAGCACAAGAGCCTGAGTTCAATCCCTAGTTCCACTCCCCCCCAAAAAAAAACCCACCTCCTGAAAGAAATACATAAAATCTGAAAGGTACAATATACACTGTAAAAAGGAAAAAAATGTTCAGTGGGAAGGAAAAACTGGGATGAGGAAAAGAACAAAAGAAAAAAGGGAAAATATATTTATGTGTATGTACAGAATAGCTTGAATAATTGTGCTGTTGATTTCTGCTGGTCTATTGAAAGGTATAGTCAGGCTGGTGAGGTGGCTCAGTGGTCTAAAGCACCTACTTACAACAAGCTTAGCAAAGCACAGGGACCGCGGTTCAATCCCCCAGCACCACATGCCAGCCAGCCCCGCCCCCTGCAAAGCTGGCCACACACACACACACACACACACACACACACATAAATAAATAAGAAAGGTATAGTTAATGCTTAAACTTTTTCATTTTTCCCCAACTTTGCATGTTTTTATCTATCTGATAATCTTTTTTCAATTTTTTTTTTTTTTTTTAGTAGAGTCTACAGGGACTCACTACATAGATCAGTCGCGCAGTGATCCGCCTGTGTTCAGCCTCCCAAAAGCAGAGATTACAGGTGCACGCCACCAGGCCCAGCCTCAATCGCCACCTCAGCGCATCCCCGGGGCTGGGCTGGCATGGCATGTCAGTCATGCACCTGGGCAGCTGCGTCTGCTTAAGCAGGCACTTTAATCCGCTGAGCTGTTTGGCCAGCCCTATATGTGGTAATTTAGACAGCTAATTTGAAGTTAATTGTATTATGTAATACAACCACCATTCTCAAATTCCTATTATTTTGTTTAAATTTTGAATCGTTTCTAATGTGTTTTCTTCTTTTACCAGTTTGTATTCTCTTTAAAAATAAACGAATGAATGAATACTGGACCTTACATACCACTAGATCTAAAAACACGGAAACAAGACGCCACCCAAAAGCAACTATTAGGGACTGTGAGATAGCTCAGCGGATTAAGCGCCTGCTTCAGGGACCAGTATTCTGTACCTGGCTCTGCACTCAGCCTCCGGGGCGCGCTGAACCAGTGTCCAAATAGGGGCGTGGCCGCGCACGCCTGTGATTCCAGCGCTGTGGAGGCTGAAAACAGGAGGATCACTGAGTCTGAGCTGCCTAGTGAGATCCCGTTCCAAATACATTTTTTAAAAAAACAATAAAACCATGTCTTCCTTTATCAATCAGGACTAGTCAGAAATCTGGCCAGTGTTCGACTAAGCATACAAAAGTAATCGTGTTGTTTCTGTCCGGTTCCACCCTCGGTGCCAAACGCTAACTCCAAGCGCCTTCAATAGTCAACACTCTAAGCCCAGACACCTCCAACGCCAGAAGCCGGTACTCTGAAACTACCAAGAGAGCCTCGGACTTCCGCCCTGGCACCTCCGCCGGAAGTGCGTTTACCGGAAGTGACGACGCTGGGCGAGCCGAGGGGCCGTACTCTCTCTTCCTTTCCACGCGGTTGAAGAGACCGGTCGGCCTGAGCAGGGTGTGCTAAGTGATGCCGGGAAAACTTCGCACTGTCGAGGGTTTGGAATCAGACGCGGCCATGGAAAAGAAAGGAAAGGAGAAGGTGATACCGCGTGACCTGGACCAAGGCAGGGTCGGGCCGAGACGCTGGGAGGAGCGGGGTTCCGGAGAGCTGGCGATGCTGGGCGCGCGTGGCAGGCGGCGAGGACCGGCGCGGCCGGCCGCTGAGCCAGAGGCTGGGCTGGAGGCTTCTGAGGTGGTGCTGGCGCTGGCCGAGGCACCCCTTGCCCTCCGAAGGCTTTATCGTGTCGCCCTCGCAGGCTGGACGCATCCACCAGCTTGGGGAGACCCGGCGCGCGGAGCCGGACGCGCAGCTAGGCCCCACGTGTTGCGTGCGTGAGTGTGCGCGGAGGGGATTGTAAATTAAGTAAAAGTACGGAATAAAACTTTAGACTAAGGGGATGTTAGACACGTGGCGGCATCTCAGGTGACTTTCCCCAGTAGTGAGGGAAGTACAGTCTTTTGTAAACAGCTCCTAGAGGCTGTGCTAATTCACTTCCTTTTCGTGATTATTGGCCTTACCGCCTGTGGAAGTGTGGTGACATGTTGGGATGTTACTGAACACCCAATTTCTTATATAGAACAGCAGTGTTAAGTCCACTGAAGTCTTAAATTACCTTGGTAGCTATCTGATTCTTGACTGTTACATTCTTGATAGCGTTTAACTGTAAGTCTATTCTAAGTCTGTGGAAACGAAGAATGTCCCCAAAAAACTTGAGTTTTCCAAGATTTACAAGGACCGGACATGTAGTTCAGTGGCGCAGCACCTGCTTGACAGGAAGTCCTCAGTTCTATTCCTGGTACCCCCAAAAGCAAAAAAAAAAAAAAAAACCACAGACTTCAGTGCTTTTTCCTTGCTGTTTTTTGGCCTTAGAGGTAGCTTAGGGAGCACACAGGCTTGTTACTTGTAGGAATGTAGTGATGGTGTCTGCATAATTGTGTTCAACTGGGGGATAGCTTAAGTATGTGTCAGAGACGACCTGTAATCTGTAATTTGAAAGCAGAGATGAGGCCTGAAGTTTCAGGGAGGCAGATTTTTAGTTCATTATGGTCTGTGAGGTTGATGTTCATACAGCTGTTAGAGAGGTTCTAAAACGTTTTCAGTAATATGAAAAGTTGAAGATCTGACACTTAAGTTACCATGTACCATCTGTGTCTGGTTTGATTTTGAGGTTGTTGGACTTAATACATGTGCTTTTTTTATATGTGGCCGTGGGATGATAGGTTAGCTTTTTTTCCCCCCTTAAAATGAAAGGTGCAGCTATTATAAATCTGTTTTACCTGTTAAGAAATTTGACCGCAAACAAGGAAATCTGTTTAATGTCATCTATCTATGGACATATTTGGTCTTACCTGCATATTGAAATTAAATGTGGACAGTATTAATCACTTTGTATAGTATTTAGCGTCTATTGTGGAATCCCATGAGCCACTTCTACTTAGGAAAATTTGGCCTTAAAAAAAAAAAAAAAAAAAGTTTGGCCTTATAGTGAGTGGTTTGACCAATATGAATTGAATATATAGCTTACTAAGAGGCACTCTTGGTTTTCAAAAATGATAAAATTGTTTATTATCACTCAGTAATACAAAGTATAGATACGTTGCTCAGTGTTTGTATTTTCTCTGAATTTTTTAGAAAGGTAGAAAAGAAAAGCCAAAATCCAACAAGACGGAGGAGTCACCAGAAGGAAAGGAAGAAAATATTTCTTCTAAAACTAAAAGTGTTAAGAAGAAAGTAGGTCCTTCTGAAGTTGACATGAAACCTTCTAAATCCAAAAAGGCTAAAAAGCAAGAGGAGCCACCCCAGGATGAAGTTATTTCCCCTAAAACCAAAAGTACAAAAAAACAAAAGGAGCCCATTGAAGAGGAAGTTGCCTCTCCTAAAATCAAAAAAGCAGTAAAATGTCAGGAGCCTTCTGAAGAAGACATAGGTGTCCCAAAGCCCAAAAAGATGAAGAAAGAAAAAGAAATCAATGGAGAAATTGGAGCAAAAAGCCCCAGACTGAAAAATGGGTTATCTCATCCTGAAGCTGATTCAAGTGGTGCCACCAGTGAAGAAAATAACAGTGAGATAGAACAGGTATAGTTGGACTTTAATAGGTTGACTGTCTTTGCTTCAAAAAATAGATATTTACTCATCATACTGTCTTATTAGTAGAATGAAATTTGATGTAAATACCTCCTGAGCAGTGAGACTGTAGGTATGCACCACTGTGCCTGTTTCTGTTGCTTATCTTCTGTTGACATATATACAGGATGTTGCTGTGGAAAAAGGACTAAATGACCTTTTCAACAGTAGTGTTGGTTTGAGATGGTTATAGGGTAATTTTTTGCGGGGGAGGATCCCAGAACTGGAGATTGAACTCAGGCCCTTGTGTTTACCAGGCAAGCACATATTTTACTGAGCCATCTCCCCAGCTCCTCGTGTAGGGTAATTCTTAAACAAAAATTTACTAGTCAAAGTGAATATGCAGAATTTATTTGCAACAATTTTCTTTAGGTAGCGCCTCATAAATTATTACAGCATTATCCTTTTTCAGATTTTGACCTGTACCAAAATTTTGTGATTTTTTTTGGTTGATTTTTAAATTGATGTGTTCAGAAGAGGTTTTTAAGAATAAGTTCTTTTTCACAAGGCCTTTATTAATCTGTGTGTTAATTGGTTCATGCTGTGGTCCTTTACTTGATAGGAAATACCTGTGGAACAAAAAGAAGGCGCTTTTTCTAATTTTCCCATATCTGAAGAGACTGTTAAGCTTCTCAAAGGTAATATTCTTGGGTATGTTATATAATGTTAGAGGGCATATTCTTTGGAAGCATTTTAGCATTTTTGTTCAAATGAACCAGCACACTTGAAAAAAAAAAAAGGGCACATTGTCACAAACAGTATATGCAACCAAGACATAGTGACAGCCTCAGCTGCCTTAAGATTAAAATTTATGCTACATTTAGGAGGGTAATGATTTATAGTGCTGATGACATTAATCCATTAGTTAATGCCTTGTTAACCCTTTCTTATCCACGAGTCACCTCAGGGTTAGTGGTACTGGGCTGGCTCAGAACTCAGCAGCTTACACTTGAATTGGCTGTGTGGTCCAAGATTGTCCACTAGGTATTTTTTTTGAGTCAAGCGCAGAACAGTCTGGATTGCAAAGCAGCAGATTTTAAGATTCATACCATCCTGAAATTTTAGGACAAGTGACTCAATCTCTTAAAGTAATATATTTAATATGACACTTTAAACTTAAATATTTTTCATTCAAATCAATTCCCCCAGAATATGTTTGAACCTCACTTTGTAGATGTTGATCGAGAGGTAGAAATTCCTGTGTTCTGTAATACCATCAACATGATTTGTGCCTCAGTCTTTGGATATGCTGGTTGGTTTTTCAGGAATTGCACTTGTTAGAGTTAGGGGTAATAACTTAGTGTAGGTTGCACGTTTGTTTAAAGATTGTATGCTGAGTGTGCAGAAGTTCCTAGGTTTGATTGCCAGCACTCTCACCCCCAAAAAGAAATTTGCAATAACGTAATTGATTTATTCACAGCTCGAGGGGTGACTTTCCTGTTTCCTATACAAGCAAAAACCTTTCACCATGTCTATAGTGGGAAAGACTTAATTGCACAGGCACGGACAGGCACGGGGAAGACTTTCTCCTTTGCCATCCCTTTGATAGAGAAACTTCAGGGACAGCTGCAAGACAGGAAGAAAGGCCGTGCCCCGCAGGTAACTATCTTAAACACATGTCAAACTGGAAATCTACACAGATCATCTTGCGGACCTAGTTTATGTCCTACTGTTTAATTTGGGTTCCCATTAAAGTCCCCATTGTGATTGCTGTGAATCATCTGAAGTTAAAGTATTATAATCTGTCCCGTGTTTGTGATCCACGGTATTTTTATTTTTTATTTATTTTTTTGGCAAAACCAGGGATTGAACTGAGGTCCTTGCACTTGCCAGGCAATCGCTTATTCTACTGAGCTATCTCCCCCACCCCACCCCTTCTTTTTAACAACACAAGGTTATTTATTTTACGGCACCAGGGATTGAACTCAGGACCCTGTCCTTGCCAGGCAAGTGCAGTTAAGCTATCTCCCTGGGTCCCACTGTATTCATATTCCCTTTGAATTTTTAGGTGTACCTGGGGCTCACAGTTTAGTGAATTTTTTTTGGCAATTTTGGCCTAGAAGGAGGAAGTGTTTTGAGTATAGGAGCTTGCTTTCTTGCTTTTTTTTTTTTTTTTTTTTTTTGGCGGAACTGGGGATTGAACTCAGTCCCTTGCACTTGCCAGGGAAGTGCTTATTCAACTGAGCTATCCCCCCAGCCCCTTCTTTTTTCTTTTGAGACGAGGTCTCTCTATGCAGTTCACAATGGCCTTAAGCTTACATTATAGCCTAGGCTGGTCTCTAACTCGAAGTGACCCTCCTGCCTCAGCCTCCCAAATACAGGGATTGCAGGTGTACGCCACCTTGATTGCCCTCTTGAACCCCTAGGAATCTGGTTGCCTGAATTTAAAGCCAGGAGCTACCTCTAAGTAGTCTTTTTACTTGAATCAAATACTCTACTTCAAAACTACTCTGTGTGGAGGCAGAGGCTGGTAAACTGGAAGTAATGTTCCACAAAACTGACTCAGATCTGGATTATACTTAAGAAAAAAAAAGTGACAGCAGTTAAAATCTTGTTTGCCCCACTTATGAAGAGGTGGAATTGTAAAAGGGAACTCTAATAACAGATTAATTCAAAAGAAATACAAGATACCTTGTTAACAGTTCATGGAGGTGGCAGGGGCTGGTAAAGGAGGAAAAGGTTTAGCTTGAGTGATAGGGTAATGATGCATTTCATAAAAGGATTAATAAAATGTAAAGGATGGAATAGAAATAAAAGAATTTATTTTTATTGGTACTGGGAATCAAACTCATGACCTTGCACTTGCCAGGTGCTATGCCACTGAGCTAGATCTCCAGTCCTAGGATCATGCATACACTTTTGTAATTTTAGGTAGGGAAGTCCCTCAGTACTAATTTACATGTTTTTTCTTTGTATTATTGGAATAACATAGATGTTCTGGCGTATCATAAAAGTATTTATGTACAGAAAAATAATCTCCAAAAGATTGTTGTGAGAATTAAATGAATATAAGCTATAGTTCAAGCACAAATATTAGTTATGTTGTCATCAGTGTAGCTTTTTGCTTGGGTTGCTCTTTGCCAGAAATGGCGCTCCTTGAAAAGTGTAGTTCCTCTAGGCAGCTACACTCGATGGGGCCTCCGTGCCCACCACACAGTAACGTGCTTCTCTTCCGATCGGTATGGTTGCCAGCTTTTCTTCTCAGTGTGTGTATATATATATGTATATGTGTGTGTATGTGTATATACATATATCAGGAACTATTATATTTATAGTCCTTATACATAACAGAGTACACTGCAAAGCTTGTACATTTCAGAATGAGAAGGATGAGTTGCGTTTTCTGGTCAGTACCAACATAATTAAGAAATAAATACAGTACTTGAAATTCAGTGAGTTTCTCTTTCAGGTACTTGTTCTTGCACCTACAAGGGAGTTGGCCAATCAAGTAAGCAGAGACTTCAGTGACATCACGAGAAAGCTGGCAGTAGCTTGTTTTTATGGTGGAACGCCATATGGAGGTCAAAGTAAGTAAATCCAAAAGTAGGAAAATGGCATCTGTATCATTGTTTAAAGATGGTTGAAAGGGCCAGGGAGTTAGCTCAGTAGAATAAGTGCTTCCCTGGAAAGCACAAGGTCCTGAGTTCAATCCCTGGCACCATCAAAAAAAGAAAAAAAAAATTTTTTTTAATTTATTTTATTTGTGTGTGGGTGTATGTGTGTGTGGCCAGCTCAGCCCACCAGGGGCGGGGCTGGCTGGCATGTGGTGCTGGGGGATTGAACGGCAGTCCCAGTGCTCTGCTAAGCTTGTTCTAAGTAGGTGCGTTAGACCACTGAGCCATCTCACCAGCCCAATACTGTAAGTGTTTTTTTGGTGTTTTTTTTTTTTTTTGCGGAACCGGGGATTGAACTCAGGCCCTTGCGCTTGCCAGGGAAGCACTTATTCCACTGAGCCATCTCCCCGGCCCCATTTTATTCTTTTTTTTTTTTTGGCGGAACCGGGAATTGAACTCAAGTCCTTGCACTTGCCAGGGAAGCACTTATTCTACTGAGCTATCTCCTCAGCCCCAAAAGCCTTCTGGGTTTTGTTTTGGTGGAACCTAGGATCAAACTCAGGCCCTTGCGCTTGCCAGGCAAGCGCTTATTCTATTGAGCCATTTCCCCAGCCCGAGTGGTGGCTAAATTCTGTATATAATTCTTACAACTTCTGCATTTTCTCTCAGTGTTTACCTAAAGACTGCAAAAGTATCTTATTGAGCTCAAAAGGACAGTCTAGTAGAGCCTCAAAGTCAGAATGCAAGGTTACTTTTTTGGTACTGGGAATTGAACTCAAGACATTCCAGGTACACTCTGTGTCACTACTCTTTTTATCTGCTGCTTTTTGTTGTAGGCCAGCTTTCTGTTAACTGGGAGGCCAGCAGCCTGATGTTGCAGGCCTCACCCAGTTTATTACTTTCCAGTCAGGACCTTGCAGCTTTATAATACAGAGTGGTTATGAAAGTCATGAAGGAATTAAAAAGTCTCAGCATTGTCATACCAAGCTTACATTTATTTCTTTTTTATATATTTATTTTGAGTTTTAGTGAAATGAACATACGGCCTTTGCGCAAAGGATTAGTTGTGTATAACTTCATGTTCAGATTGGTGGTTTTTTTTTTTTTTTCTATTTCAGTTTTCTTGCCTATAAAAGGGCTACTGAATACACTCTGCAGAGATGTTGTGAAAACTGAATTGGATGACATGTGTAAAGTATCTAGTGTGGTCCCTGGGCTACAGTAGCTACTCAGTAAAAACAAAAAAAAAAGTTACTGTTTCATTTGGGTTACATTGAAAACTTCTGTTTTATCAGTGTTTTTATACTTGGTTAAAATATTTGCCCTTGTAGTCTAGTTGATCCTTCTTATACCTTATAGTAAGTTCCTATTTAGGATTATTATTTTCACTCGAAAACATTTGACGTTTTGTACTAGCCAAAGGAGTCTTTTTTTTTTTTTAATTTTATTGAGAGACAAATATTGATGAGACAATTTCAAAACAGGTTAGTAG